GGCATCCAATAAGAAATAACTGCTGTTTAATACCTAAAAATACCTTCAAACAAACTTTCATTTTTTGAGACAATTTTATGTGTGATTAGAAATAATTAACTATACATAAAAAAAAACAAAAAAAACAATGTTGGATCATCAAAAGTTGTTAACAATGCTGTTGTGACTACAAAACAAATTAAAAGTACATTATTTGATTTCTCTGTGTATGACAGCACGAGCCAGGCATATCTGAAATGCTACATAGTGTGTTTGCCATTAAAATGCTTTGAATTTTTGAAACCCAGAGCGATATTGATGTGGTGTTTATACAGAGCCTCACGTCATTTTATCTGAGTAAGCTAGTTTAGTGCTATCTAAAAAATGCAAGATACTTTGCATTTTACAATAAGGTCTGAACAGCCCTTCTGTTATCCACTCAACCCAGCAGGCTTAAACTGGAAAACAGAAGAAAGAGCAATATATCAGAGAAAACTGGTGCTTCTCCTTTTATAGGAATTGTTGTATCTAGCCTCAAGTGCTGCAGAAGGCCTCTGTCTACTGACAAAGAATGATCTGAACATTATATATACAATGGATGAGAAATATACATAAGCAGCTCTCCTGTGTGTTTGCAGAATGCCTTTAGGGGGAGGAAATAAGTGTGGCTGCTGCCAGAAACCTGTCTACTTTGCTGAGGAAGTGCAGTGTGAGGGAAAGAGCTGGCATAAATCCTGTTTCCTGTGCAGTAAGTATTGAGAACTTAAGGTAATCCGAATCATTTGATCAACAACTTCTTTAAATCATAAGAAGTGCCCGGCGGGAATGCAGAGTATTTGGCATCACAGGAGTAAAGTGAGCATCCACAGCTTTTCACTAAGACATCTCAGTCCTTATTTGGATCCACTGCAAACATGTGACAAATACTTGGGCTTCCTTTTATGGCGAAGGAAGGTACACACACTCAGTCTCAAACACTGAGCAGTATTTATCTGAGACTGCCACTGTGGTTTACACCATTCCCTTCTGTCACACAGACTTTGTGGGTATGCCACAGCTAAACATCTGTTTTTAAAAAAAATGGCAGCTTGTGGTGGGTGACTGCTTTTGAAAGATAAGCTCGTGCTGTAGATGCTTGAGAACTAACGAAAGAAAACTATGTGTATATTTGTTTTTCTCCCTTTATCTCCGTTTTAAGTGGTGTGTAAGAAAAACTTGGACAGCACAACTGTGGCTGTTCATGTGGATGAGATCTACTGCAAATCCTGCTATGGCAAGAAATATGGGCCAAAAGGCTATGGCTATGGAGGTGGAGCTGGCACGCTGAGTATGGATACGGGAGAGGGTCTTGGAATCAAGCCTGAAGTGTGAGAAAAACATCACTTCCTCCTTTCTTTAACTGCTGAAACATTCAGATATATAACAAAGAACTCTATAATCAAAACAAAGACTAATATTTTATTTGTGTTTGATTTACCACATGATATAATAAAACACACCAAACCTCTTCAGGTTCTGTATTTAAAGCTTAAATGACAGATGAGTACGAGGAAAGAAATACATTGAAATTCTTTTTCTTAATTCCATATGAAAAGCTTTTTTTTTCCCCCCCCCCCAATGGCAGACAAGCTCCTCATCGCCCTACAAATAACCCCAACTCCTCCAAGTTTGCCCAGAAAGCAGGAGGCTCAGACGTGTGTCCACGCTGTGGGAAAACAGTGTATGCAGCAGAGAAGGTTATTGGGGGAGGCAATGTAAGAAAGAGAAAAGCTGCAGTCGCAATGTGCAGTCCTGTTTCAAAATAAAAGTAGATGACGATTTAAAACATTTCTTCCATGTCTCTTCAGTCATGGCATAAGAGCTGTTTTCGCTGTGCCAAATGTGGAAAAGGACTGGAGTCCACAACCCTTGCTGATAGAGATGGAGAGATCTACTGTAAAGGTTTGTGTATAAAAGTATTATATAAAAGACAAAAATATCCCCTGGTTCACACTGATTAAATATAGAAAATGTCATTTTTATCTTGTGTAATAAGTGTATAGTACATTTATATTATATTACCATATTTCAATTACCAAATAAAGACATAAACTGACATGTCAGTTTATAACTGACAAAATAATAAAGCATATTAAACACTTCCCATCTCTCTGTTCAAAGTCACTAATATGTTTTCCCACACATTCCTTCCGTCTTCCATCAGAAAGCACTAACACGTTTATGCATTGCAAAATGGTCCACTATAGGCCTTTCTCAGTTCTAAGATCTAAAAAAACTTCTAAGTGCATTCGTAGTAAACCCTTGACAAACAGCAATAAAATTATAATTTCCCGGTATATAGTTAATATTTTATATGGTTAAATGTTGATATCCTTGTCAAGCTCATAATTCCAGCATTAGTTCTATATTCTATACACAAATTATGCACAGGATTTCTCATTCATTTTAATTTCCTTTACAGGTTGCTATGCAAAGAACTTTGGTCCAAAGGGTTTTGGCTTTGGTCAGGGTGCAGGCGCTCTTGCTCATTCCCAGTAAAGCCTGAAGCCTTAGCTCACCTGGGACTGACATCTGGTGGGCTCCGATATCACAGCTTCTGGGATCTCTCAGTCAACATGAAGCTTATTTCACTCTGCCCTTTCACTTTAGCTACAGGCAATGAAAAATGAAAGAAGCACACATCAGCAGCTCTTTGAAAATATTCACCAAGCAAAGTCTGCTCCTTACTTGATGTTGCATTAGACTCCAGTGTATACAACCCCAAGTCCAAAAAAGTTGGGATGTGTACGTGTTATAAATAAAGATGGACAGAAGTGATTTGCAAATCTCATAAATCTATATTTTATTCACAATGGAACACAGAAAAGGCATTACATGCTTAAAATGAGGTATTTTACTTTTTCATTTTGAATTTGCTGGCAGCAGCATCTTTCAAATAATTTGGGATCACGACAGCAAAGGAAGTGCAAACGTAAGACTAAAAAACACAAAGCAGTAGGACCAGAAATTCAACAATCTGGAAAACACTGCATCCACAAATTGATGATCAGCATTCTGAAATTTTACCAGAAAGTAATATACCATCATCAAAAGATTGAGAGAATCTGAAGAAATCTGTGTCCAAGGGACAAAAATGAAAATCAGTACTGGAATCATGTGATCATCAGTAAACTCATCGGGACGACATTAAATACATAACGGTCATAGATATCGCCTGCATGTACTCAGGAACACCTCTAGAAACCATCGTCTCTCAACACAGTTCACTGTGTCATCCACAAATGCAGGTTAAACCTCTATTATTAGTGCAAATACAGAGTTTACAGAAACAAGTTCCAGACTTGTATGGACCGTTAAAGGAAGACGAGTTGGTACACCGTGGTAAACACGGCCCTGTCACAACTTGCTTGGGACAAGGCTGTGACATGTTTTTGCTGTCAGATTCAAAATGACCACATTTTATTTTAAATTTGTACATTTTCTCAGTTTACACATTTGCTATGTTTTTTATTTTCTGTTGTGAATAAAATGTGAGTTTGAGATTTGCAAATCACTGCATTCTATTTACCTGATTACATTTGCTACATTGACATAAGTGTAGCAAACACATCTACAAATGTTACACTGACATCTAATTCTACTTTAGTAGAAACACAGTGTGCACTCACTGAGTAGTTAACAATTTGGCTTAAACAGCACTAGAACATGTACACAAAAGCAACTTGGCTTATCGAGTGCTAAATTTAAATAACATCTAAAAACAATAGACAACAAGAACAAAAGAAGAAATTATACACTGACAACTGTGAGAAAACAGTCTTAAATCATGCCTCAGTTACATTGGTGCTGAAGCTTTTCTTACTGCCGAATGTTATAATTAATATCTTAAGAAATGCATTTTTTGCTCTAACACAAAATAAATTTAATGGCAAAAGCAAACAGTAAGTTTGAAAGTTTTCCTTACTTGTCGTAGTGCAAAGTTTTTCATTGTTGTTTTTTTATCTGCTACTCAGATCTGATTAAATCAGCATGCATGTTTATGTGATCTCAAGTGTGCTTGACAATCTTTCTAAATGATCATCTAACTTAACAACATGCCAGTTGTTGTGGTGAACAACAGAGCCATAGTATTCAGCCCCATCTCTGGCTGCACCGAGGAGTTGGCACACTGGCCAAAGCGCTATGCAGCTGTGGTGGTGGTATTTGTACCACCACCACAAATGTGTGAGTCACATCGGCAACAAAACTACAGCAGAAAGTCACGCAAACATCAAGTGTTACAGGGAAAAGCGCAACTCTTTCATTTTGTTGATATGCTTACATAAATAAGCACTAGTCACCAGAATGTTATGGCTAATATTGTGTAGGCGATCCAGTTGCAGCTGAGGGTTTCCTGTGGTGTCTGCTATGGACTGAACTTATTCTCTCCTTCATTCTTTCTTGGCAGTCTGGTGGCAGTTGCAGTCCTGTTTCTTAAAACCAGTGTTGTGTTATGTGTTGTTTGGGAGTGCCATTGCCGTAGGGATTTGTGCCATTTTGGAACAATGTTTATGTGGGTGGTAACATTCAGATAAGAGTCAGTACTCAAGCTTTTTGAATCGACAGCATTATCAATCACACATCCCTCGTCTGTGATTTTAATGGTGCAGCAGTTTGGGTTAAATAGGAAAACCCCACAGATCCCCTTAAGCCAGTTTCTGTAGAAAGCAACAGAGTAGCACTCCATCACAATAAGATGCATTTTTCAATTATCAATAGGTCTGTCTTTAAATTTCTCCATATATTGAAGTAATGTTGGTGTGCTTGTTATACACTACCATATCACATTAAAAATACAAGAGCAAAGAAGGGAATGTGCTGTCATGTGACCACTCAGTGACAGGGCACTCAGTTCTATGTCATATCAGACTTTACAGAACAAGTACTGGCAGTTTATCCACATACAAAGTAATAAAACCTGAATCATTCCTGCATAGTCCATTTCACATCCTTGCTTCAAAAATAATAAATAAATAATAATAAGACACAGCTTGAATTATAACTGAAAGAGTACAAACACATTGTACTCTTGCTATAGTTTTGAAAAACTAAATGTTTTCCCAGCTTTCAGTCATCACTGGGTGACAGGCCTGGGCTGTCCCAAGTGCCAGTCTTGCCTTTTGATCTGCCCCTTTATAAAAGCAACACATCAAACAAATACAACCAGCAAGTTAAGAGTCTTCTGATTAAAGATGACTGTTTGTGTCCCATACTTGACAGAGCTTCAACATAGTTACTTTGTCAAATAACTGTTTGTGTTCCAGCAGTCAGGATGTCCACTGGACAGGCGCGTAGCCATTTGACTGACTATACTGCAAACTCATGGCAACCATCCTCTATCCTTTCTGGCTGCTGCAGTTTCTGATATTGACAGCATATATGGAAACAATATAGTGCCCCACTTCTGGTCACATGCGACCAACAGGTGGTGCCCGTTATCCAGCAGATCTAGGCTTTAGCAAATTTACAGCCACATGTTTTAGGCTCTGTGGATGGTTATATCTGGCTGTCTGTGTGAACTCTAGATCAAAGCTGCTGTATCAAATCAGGACTTTGTTAGGCTATTATGTACATGACTGACTTTCAAACTGGACTTTCATGTTTGTTGTACTAAGTGGAGAGCATGTCAGTAACACAAACATCGCCCAGACACAAATAATTTCATGGATTACTTTAAGGACTTACTGTCCTTGTGAGTGTGAACGAAGCACACAAATGTGTGTTCACAAAGACAGCCATATTCATCTGTGTTTTTATTTTGCTTGGAGCACACAAACCCCCAAATACAAAGCATGCACACAATTGCAGACCGAGACCCAGTATCAAAGAGTGGCAGCATCACACGGTGTTGCAATTTGTCTATGTTTAGTTGTGAGGCCGTGGCCAAATGAACACTGGAAACTGCATTCCTGTCTTAAAACCAAGGGCTTAATGTTGTCTGCAGCCATTATCCTAATCAGACCAATGGGGCCCTTCAGTCTCAAAGGGGACATGGCAAGTCTCCAGTATCTCTTTCAACAGCCACAGAAAACCTCAGAAAATCATCTGTACTAACAAGACAGACTGTAGGCTGCTTTATAGTTGATTTAACTGAGGTGATGAGGAGGTATACACAAAACTCTGACCAAATGTCAGAAGAAAACAATAAGTGATCCCGCCTAGAATTTTAAATAATTTACTTTTGTAAAAACAGACTAAAGATGAAAAATTTATTCAGAATGATGTTGTTTATGCCACTTTGCCACACATTAAAGTTCACACATATTATTATGAAGAATAGAAAAGCGGTGATCTGTCAACACAACACAAGCAGCACAGGCACGATTATCTTGAGACCACCCCCTCTTATGGTGTGTGTGTGTGTGTTTTTCTATTTAAGTCTTATTGTGATAGAGAGGAGGGCCAAAAGGGAGCTGGAGATAAATGTTTCACTGTTCTTCTCTCCATCACTTCGTCTTTGTCTGCATCCACAACATCAGCAAAGAAAGGTAATGGCATAGTCTTCCTGCTACACCGAATACTAGCCAGTGTAGTTTTCCCTGTTCTTTTTCACTTTGTAATATATTAATTTTCAATATATAATTTTATTACCAATATATAAACTGCTAGTATTTAAGAAAAGATCAAATTTTTTTTTTCCAGATAATACTTTGGTCTATTTCAGCAAATAGCAAAAAGTAATAATAACTTCTTTTTTTTAAAAAAAGACATGTATTACAGGTTACCTGAACCGAAGGTGACAACTCCTTTTTTTGGTTGAGTTTGATCAGTAGTCTGACATTCAAAGATTTAAAGTTCAATTACCTACAGGAAGAAAAGCAAATCATGATAGTTCTTTTCTTGTGCAAGAATTTAAAATTGTTTTTCATAAACCATAAAAATAACAAATATGTCAAACAGTAAATAACCTGAATAGCAGGAAATGTATTGCTCTTTTTAAAGCATTACAACAAAGCACTCCCAGTTGTTGATCTGCTAACACTGTTCAGTAGCTCAATAGAAACCTGTAATCTGCAACTAGATTCAGTTCACTCCCTTAAGCAAGAAAAGGCCAAACTGCTTACTTCAAGACAATAAATTATGAAGGGTGTCTGCTTGTTTTGTCTAATGTGGCTATAAGCTAAATATCTGCATGGCTATAAATTAAAACAACAAAGTACTGTAACACAATATGTTACACCATCGATGGAGAAAAAAAAGAATATATGTGTCATATAACTTGGTGAACATCAGTCATGCAGTTTAAGTCTGGGATGTTCTAAGATTTATAGAGCCAGTCTATATTTGTGTCTGGATGCTACAAAGCAGTGAGGGGGAAAGTGGGAAATAAATGCTATCAGGAGTGGCTGCCATGTCGAGGGCCTGGCATGCTTTTCCATGTCTGCCATCACTTCCCTTTCAGTGTTATCAGCACTGAGAGGCAACTAGATGATTTTATCCAGGATGCTCAATGAGCACAAAGTAACAATGTCTGATAAATTTAATTAAAAAAAAACAAAACAACATTGCTAGATAAAGTAAAGTTTTGTCATCCGTTATCAATTTCATGAATAACACTTGTCGTAAAGAATCTGGTATAACAGGCCTTGGGATATCTCTAATGTATACTTTAAGTCTTTTAACACTATACCATTGACTCGCCCACTGTGTCTTTAAGTGGTTCCCACTGTCAAGCACTTCAAAAACAAAAGGTTTTATTTTTGACTTCCAGGGGGAACTGAATAGTCACGATGCCTGAGAAAGCGTAAGTATATTGAGTTTCTATTATTATTTTAATTGCCGATTGAGTGGATCGTTTACAAACAGTAAATAGAATTTCAGTAGAAATATAATTTAAACATGGCAGGAGCAGTCAAGAATTACAATGAATTGAATTTCCTGTCATCAATAATAAAGCACTAATGTTGGCCTTCTGTTTCAACCAACAGACCAGAGGTAAGACTGAACTAAATATATTTACACTTACTAATGCTTCAAAAACAGCCACTTCAATCAGCATTACTGTAGACTAATAAAATGTCACAATATGATTAAAGAAACTGTGCTTTTTGCAGAGAAAATCTAAAATCTCAGCCTCTCGCAAACTCATGCTGAAGGTGAGTAATCTGCAGCATTTGGCACACAATAATATCTCACTCAGAAGGATCGATCAAATAATTACATTTACTTGGTGTCTCGTGTTTCAGAGCTTGATGGTAGCCAAGGCCAAGGAGGAACTGGAGCAGGAGATTGTAGAAAAAGACGAGCAAAAGGCAAAGTTTCTGGAGGAAAAAGCTCCTCCAATACGGACCGGTGGCCTCTCCTTAGCAGAGCTACGGGTACCATTTAACATTCATCATCATTTTGTTGCCACCCACAGACTAAAGTTACATGTGGTTACAGAAATTACACTGTCAAGAACTCAGCTATTCATCTCAGGACATTACGGGGAAATGATCTAACTTTGCAGATATTATGTGAGGAGCTGCATGCCAGAATAGATGTGGTGGACGAGGAGCGCTATGATATTGAAGCCAAGGTCTTGCATAACACCAGAGAGGTAAAAAACACAACTGTAGCAAAACTTAAAAAACAAAAAAAAACAAAAAAAACCCTAAAATAAATGTATATATCAACATCAAATAGATACATATATATCTGTATGTCACTTTATAATATCTTATTTTGGCTTCAGATAAAAGGTAAGGGGTTTATGTCAAATTATCACCTCTAGATCAAAGACCTGAACATCAAGGTATTGGACTTGCGAGGGAAGTTCAAGAGACCTAACCTGAGAAGGGTGAGGGTCTCTGCTGATGCCATCCTGCGCTCCCTACTGGGCTCTAAACACAAGGTCTCTTTGGATCTGCGAGCTAACCTAAAATCCGTCAAAAAGGAGGACACAGAAAAGGTGAAGTCATGAGAAAGAAAAGTAAAATATACAGACACAGCTACTGACAGGAGATGCTTTGGGCAAAAAAAGAAATTAATACAGATAATCATTTACTCCCCTTGTGCACAAGATGTGCACATCAGGTCTTCTGCTGATGTTCTCGCCAAGTATGAGTGGCAAACTGTGAAAAATCATATCTCTCATATGTATTCTGTGTGTGCTGCAGGAGAAGACAGCGGAGGTGAGTGACTGGAGGAAGAATGTGGAGGCCATGTCAGGCATGGAGGGCCGCAAGAAAATGTTTGATGCTGCAAAAGGCCAAAACCAGTAAAACAGCTGGCGAACAAACAGCTGGCTAACAAACAGCTGGCTAACAAACAGCTGGCTAACAAACAGCTGGCTTTCATCTAATCACCATCACTTGCATACCAAAGATTTCTGAGCACAAAGCATAAGGGATGCTTGGTGACTTCACATATTCAAGTCGTTTAAATACTCAGGATCTTTCCTCAACACTGAAATAAACACAGCATCTCTATTCTCATCGTCCCTGAGTCATCTTGTTTCGAAGAAGTGTTCAGTGATTTCTCTGTTTCTTGTTTATTTGTGTAAGACACAGAAGAATATCCTTTGTAATAAAATAGCCTAAATGAAACTTTACTTCAAAAGCACACAGATTTAGTTCTGTACAGCTGCACACGCGAAACAAAATTACCTGCCAAGAGATAAACGTGCTCAACAGTACAGCAACTGGAAATTTGCAGGCTAAGGAAGCATACAAAGTGCACATACTTACTGTAAGTTTGGTAAGTGAACCAGCAAAGAATAAACCCTGCGGGAAGAATCAGTCTGCCATGAAGACTCCAGGACAGGAAACTCCAGTTTTAGCTAACTCGAGGATGAAAAACAGAGAAGAATCACAGAAGCAATGGAAAAACACCACGGTCTTAAAAACGCATCTGTCCAACATGACTGGACTTTTTGTGGACGATGAAAACGCCACACGAACCTGGAACTGGAGCTAAACACTGGGCTGGGGACCAGTAGTTTAAATAGACCGCGTCATTGCAGTCTGCGCATGCTCCGTGTAGCCAAAAAAAAAAGAAGAAAAAAAGAAAACCACCGCCGTTTATTGAGCAGTGAATTTTGCACATGTCCCTGCATAGGTCAATAGACTAGACACCACGTTGTCATTTGCCGACACTAGCCAAGTGTGCTTGTAAGTTCTGGGACCACACCCATCTCTGAAAATATGTTTATCGACTCGATGTGAAATATATGACGACGTGGATGACTGAGAACCTTCACAGACGAAATACCTTTTTCACGGTATTGCAAATTTCTTTTTAGTCTTGGACAACTTCTAACTAAAATGCCCACCAAGCAAGTTTTCACAAGTCAGAAGAATATAGTCTCCTTTCAGTCTCACTTCTCTCAGAAAGAAGGAATATGTTTCCAAAATGAAAAGCAGAGAAAATTGTTTTCCCCTGCATGCATCAGGAAAAGAAAAGGGGGGTTCATGTGGGTTGTAACCCTCGGGTAATAGACCTACTTAAAACAGCTGAAGTTGTTGTTGACCCAACCTGTGCACGGAACCTTTCACCTGTAACCTCTTAACCATCATTTTCATGTGAGCTGGTGCACTGAGTGGTGACCAGTGTGTGACAGTCACTTTTCTTTCTTTATATTTCCGACATATAAAGAAACATAATAAACGGTAGTTTCTGCTGTTGGATTGGATCTAATAAGGGGGGAAGTTTGGTATTTTGCTAAATTGCCCCCCATTAGTTACTGATGACCAAGGATGCTCAAAATAATTCCTAAAGATTGCAAACTGGTGCTCTGGTCCATATCAGCAAATTTTGGTTATACCACACGGTGGCAGTATTTGCTTATGACTTCACTTCAAACAACGAGAATAATTGTGGGTTCGGTAATGAATGCATCGAGTAAACGTTCAGATGAAAAAGCTATCAATTAAGTGAAAGTTGCAGTGATAGCCGGTGGTACAGTAAGAAAAACAAAACGTGCTGGAGTTGAGAGTCTGTGTGTCGTGGAATTAAAGGGAATTTTATAAGTGGAATTACGAGGAATAAACCTAAAGGCTTATCTGTGTTGTTTTAGTCGTCGACTCAGGTGCCAGAAAGGCGGGGTTTTTCAGCAATAAAGTCAAGAAGAGAAGGTGTGACTTGACGGCTTTTGATCCATTCCGCTAAAAAAATATTTAGAAAGTAATATGACGTCTAAAAGGAGGAAAAACAAGTTTGATTTCAAAAACGAATAAAGCCTAACATGGCTTACGAACATCTGTTTTACATACTATACAGAGGCGATTCTAGGTTCAAACGTAGAGGGGCTCAGCTCTCGATCATAATGACAGCAGTGCCTTGCAATTAATATTAATGGCATATGCTGTTTGCATATGCAATTAACCCTTTTCACATTCCCAAACCTCAGTTTAGTTGGATACACATTACAATGCTGGATGAGCGATTGTAGTGTCTAGGAAGGATTCAGAGTGAATAATCACAGATTTCAATCTAATCTACCAGTTTTCTCTCATTTCTCATCCTTCTTCTTCTTCTTCTTTGGTGCAACCCTATAAATACGCGGTACCCCTTTGGCCTTTCCCCTTTTCTACAATTCCCCTGTGGGAGAAATTGGTGTCATTTCTTTCCCAACATTGTACAACACACATATACTGTATATTTAGCCACCCTGATGTTTCTGATTGTGTTTTTAGTTCAGATATTGCCATCATTGTGCCTCTCTTTGGTAGATACTGTAAATGTGTAGTACGTGTGTGCCACATATGTGTTATAGACACAGTTAATAGCATGAACAGATAATTCTTGCTAGCTTGGAAGTTGTGGTGACTTGAATAACCCTCTTCCCTACTGTTTCCATTTGGTTGCAGGGGCTGGGGTGGGCAAGTTAATGACTTGGAGGTCTTTGTTTCTTTTACCTTTCATTGTCAGACATAACGCAGGAACACACCGGTTACACAGACACTTCACAAGTGACAGCGTTGTCCCTGCATTATCAGAACAGTTTGAACTTTACAGTTTGAACATCTTCTTTCTGCCACAGGAACAAACGTCTTACTTAGTCTATTAATGACAAAGCAACAACGTCTCTGTGTGAGTGCACTATAACATCATGACATCAACAACACTGGACATAAAACTTGTTTTCAACCTGATGTAAACATACACGTTTGGAAAATATAACACTGAAGATAATTCCAGAAAATAATTCTAAAATATGCTATTATTAGTGCTATTAATATAGCTATTTTTAGGGGTGCTCTGATGAAATTTGGGGGTGGTTGAGAACCTATGTACTATAACAATGTTAGAGATCTCTCCACAGAACATATCTTTATTAACATGATAGTGTTGTAACCTGTGGTTTGCATCACGGTTGTATTACATGGAAAGCAGAGGAATAGATGCTTTTACTTTGTAAAAAGCAAACTTTCAAAAAAGAAAAATGAATGATAAAAAAAAGGTCAACATCCACCTTCATATTTGTGAGCTTTAGCCTCGTTCTTTATGCGTATGGCAAAACAGTTTTTGAATCAAAGAAAATCAAAATAATGATATGACACGTACAAGCCAAAATGTGAAAACGTGACCAGCTTTTTTTTGTATGCTTATTTTTTTAGTGGACAAATCCTTAACAAACGTTCATCTCAAATGAGACTGAAACAAGACAGCATGTTATTTACCCTGGTCCACACAGTGCTTATGGGTACACAGGGTTGCATCATTGAGCCTGTTAGGAAATCACATTGACAGTAAATTCCTCGACTAAACTGATTCTGACTCTGTGAATGAGTAACACAAACACAATAATGTGCATGCACACAAAAATACAAAAAAAGTAAAACATAAATATAAAATTATCTGATCTATGATGTCACTCTGTGTAAATAGTTCACATAAGAAAGCAATAAAGAAAGAAAAAGAAAATTATGATAAAATGCCATAATTCATCGGGCATCAGTTTCATATTAGAAACATGTCAAGAGGTTCACTCGGTGCTGTAAAGGAATAGTTTTTACAATTTCCTGCAAAGAGCAATGTTCTTTTTCAGTGGTCCTATATAAGCTCATAGTACTTTTTTTTGACAAGTAAACTATGTGAAGTTATTAATAAATAATGATACATATAGATGAATAGAATATTTGCAAAAAATGTAACTGACTGTACTTTTGACAAGACGTGACTGACATGTGAGAAAACACAGCCAACCTGAAAAGAGTTACGGTGGAGGAGGAACTCCCATTGAATAACCTTTGCAAAGAAAGTTTTGGCTTCAGCTGTCAAGACTAATCTCCTGATTGTGGGGTCAAATACATTACCAAAAACACCGGGAGTATCAAAAGACTTGGCACGGTCATAAATGATGTTGTTGGTAGCATGTTTTTGCATGTAAGGACTGAGGGCAGAGTTTATGATCAAAGACAATAAACACAGGCTGGAGTCTGAAAAAGGGTGTGAATTTTATGTGAGTATTGTTTTTGGTATTCTGCTGTGGGAAAAATCCAGTTACTTCACTGTATAACAAAACTGCAGGCAAACCTTGTAGAAATGTCATACCCATCTTCAGAATCCTAATAGGAAGTGAAAGCAAATATCAGGAGAGCTTGAGCCATGTAAGAATGTATTTGTGTGCAGACAGAAATATTTTTATAAGTATTATAGGTAACCTAACTCATGAGAAACTGAAACCTTCAGAGAGCAATAATCCTGTGCTGTTTGGCGGAGGTTTTACAGAGTAAAAATAGTCAAGGCAAGTCCATAGAGAATACATGTTTTCCCATTCTAGTAGATGTTATCTGCCATCTGTTTGCAGGTATGTGCCCACCCATTGTAGACATGGGCAGCTTGCCGCCATGTGATCCACTACTGGGTTTAAAAGCTTATAGCCCACAGTGAAGGACACAGTATACAATTCCCCATTGAGCCACATTGCACGAGCTGGGTAAGTCTGCATGCTCCTGTTCTGTCTTTTTAAACAATCTAACAAAATCTGTAACTGTTTTATACTTTTTTGTTAGATTTTGGGTTTCTCTCAGTCTGTAGAAGCCAAGTTATTAACTTGGCTTCTATGTATATTCGCATTTAAAGGAACTGCATCCTAAACATGTCAGACACAGAGGATGCCGAATACGAGTAAGTACTGAATTATTTTCTGTAGAAACAAGATTGACGTTCGCAAAGTTATGCCAGCGCAAATGGAATTAAAAAGTGAAACAAAATAAAATTTTGGTCTGTTTTTTTATTTTTTCAGAGGACAACGTGAGTCATTTTGTCAGTTCTCCTAACCCATGCATGGGCTAGATAAGTTTTTGACTGTTTCTGTTTGCACTCTAGTTTACAAGCTGCAGATTCATGCAGCTGCATGTCTGCATGCATTACATAAATCCAGCTACAGTAGAAATGCCTCACCCATATTTAATTTGCCAAAGTTCATTGCTTTTCGCTGACCTTTGCTCTTTACATTGTGAAAGAGATGAATATATTATTGTTTGTTTATACAAACAATATCTATGACAACAATGCAAAATTTTGCTTTTTTTCTTTTGTCTGCCACTTTGTTGCTTTCCACTCTTCCATTTAAACATTCATCATTACTTAACACAGTGCATCTGCTAAGCTGCTGGCTTCACTGCACAGCCCACTGTATTTTTGGCATCTTGTTGCCACTGTAGAGATGGCTGCTATTCTGTAGCTTTTATGCCAGATTGACCTTTGTCCTCTGAGTCAGTCCTCTCGGTCTGAGATGTGAGA